TTTTATTATTATATAATTTATTATAAATTATTAATTCTTAATGATCAGTAAAAAAGATATTTCTTTGAGCAAAAGATCTTAAAACTATAAAATTTTTTAACATCATTTTTTTATTTATAAAACTACTTTTAATGACTTTACAAAAATTGAAAAATAAATATTTTATTGTTTCTTCATATAAAAAAAATATAAATAATGCAATTACGACGAGCGCAGTTTTATAGCAATTTGGTATACAAAAAATGTTTTATTTAATATGTATTAAAAAATTTTATATATTTTCTTTTTTCTATTATGAAAAATATATCGCCTTGGTTTTAACATCATAAAGAAAATAGTAAAATAAGTAAAATAATACTTCATATTAAAAAAATTATAAATCTAAAAAACTAAACCAAATCATATTTTTTTAAAAATTTAAACTTAAATTAGTTTATATAAAAAACTAAGTGTTCTTAAAAAAAAAATCGACAATTAACTATTTTTGCAAAAAAATTTACTTTAGTTTATTATAAAAAATTAATTTATATAATTTATATAAAAAATATACTTTAATATAAATTAAAAAAAAACTAATAAATTTTTTTATAAAAAATCTCGAAATAATTAAATTATAAAAAAAATGTTTTCAAATTAGTTAAAAAATTGTTTTAATTATACTTAAAATAATTTATTATCAAAAATTCAAAATTTTTCTTTATATATATATAAAAAAAATTGAATTAGTTAATTATAAAAAAATTATTTACAATTTATTTAAAAATTGGTTTAATTAATTTATTGGAAAAAATTTAATCTTTTTTATTTTTTAAAAATCACGAATTAACTAATTATAAAAAAATATTTTTACTTAAGTTATAAATTATTTCAATTAAATTAACATTTATTTATAAATTATAGTAGAAATAGTTTTCCTAAAAAAAATCTGGAATTAACCAATAATAATAAAATTATTTCAATATAGTTAAAAATGGCTTCAATTAAATTAAAAATTAAAAAAAAATTTCAATAAAAATTTTAAAAAATTGTTCTTCTTAAAAAAATCTTGAATTACTTGGTTCTAAAAAAATTATATTATCAATTTTGTTAAAAAAAGTGTTTCAATTAAATTAAAATTTTATATTTTATTATAAAAAATTAGAAAAACTGTTTCTTAAAAGAAAATTCCAATACTTAATCATAATAAAAGATTATATAAAATCAGTTGTGAGCTGTTTTAATTAAATAAAGTTTAAAATAATTTATTCTATATATTAATAAATTTCTTTTTTTTAAAAAAACTCCTATTTAGTTGATTATAAAAAAATTACTTTTAATTATGTTAAAAATTGTTTTGAATAAATTAAATTTAAAAAAACAATTATTATAACAAATTAATAAATTCGTTTTTCTAAAAAACTCAAATTAGCTCATTATAAAAAAAAATTACTTTCAAATTAGTTAAAAATTTTTCAATTAAAATAGTTTATTATAAAAAAATAATAAAGTTATTCTTCCATAAAAAACTGAATTAGTTAATAAAAAAACAATTTTAATTTCTTTATTATTTTTTAAAATTATATTAAAAGTCTTTAGAAGAGCAAGCAAAAAGCAACAATGGAATCGTTATTTGCCAGCAAACAGGAGATCAATTTTCTTTCGAGGTTTTATCATGTAGTAGACACTAACAAAAAATAAAAGTATTTTGTTTTCTTTTTTAAATGAATTAAAAATTAATTTAAAAATCAATATTTCAAGTACAAATAAGTCTGTTTCATCTTTTGAAGGCCAAATTAAATTTCCAACTACTAATTATTTATAGAAATATGAGTATTTGATCTTTTTCAAATTATAAAAATAAAAAATAATCAATAAAGTTAATAATTACAAAAATAATAGAGTATTTCATCTTCACAAATTAGTTAAATTATAAAAAGTCGTTAAAGTAACTTAATTTTGATAATTTGAAAATTCTTTAATAAAGATTGTCAATGATAAAATGAAAATTTCATATTAAAGTAAAAGTTGAAAGTCATTCAGAAAAAAAGGTTTTCAACTGTTTTGATTCGTTTCATAAAAATCCATCACCAAAGAAAATAAATGTAAAGATATATATTAAAGAAATAACATATATATATAAATTAAAAAGATTAAATTTAAACAAAAATGTTTGATAAGTTGTCAAGAATTACAAATTTAATTATAAAAATAATAATTTTGTAATCTTTAAATTAAAAGAATTATAAATAAATCAACTTATAAAAATTAAAAAAAAAAATTATTTTTTGTTTACAAGAAAACTTAAAAGCTTATAAAGTTTGTATATAATATAAAAACCAATAAAAAAATATAAAACACATAAAAAATATTATTAAGTAAAAAAAATGAAAAAAAAAATCAATAAAACTTAGTAAATAGGTACAAGATATGTCAAGAAAATATTTTAATGTTCAAAAAGAAATACAGTGGATCAAATAGTTTGAATATATTAGAGTTATATATAAGGAAATTAATAAAAAAATTAAAATATATTTATAAGAAAATACTAGTATGTTACTTATTACAATTAAAGAAATATTTATAAAAAAAACTTACAAATATATAAAATCATAATATATATATAAATTGTAGAATTTTATTATTAAAGTAAGTTATGCATGAAATTATTTTTATAACTTTTAGCTGATAAATAAAATTCCTAAAGTGAGTAAAATTATATAAAAGAAATAAAAATAATATTTTATAATATCGAATAAAAAAATTAGGATTTAAAGAAACTAAAAATTGAAAAAAAAATGTTTATATATGCCTACAAAAAGTTTTTAAAGATGATTTTTCTTAAAAATTTAAAATTAAAATTATTTTAAATGTAAGCTTTAACAAAATTTTTAAATTAATAAGTTAAAATAATACATGTTGATTGAAAAACTACAAATAAAGTGTAGTAGATATAATAACTTAAAAGTTCGGCGTTTATTTTCCTTTTAAAAGGGAATCAGCACTTCCACGGTTTCAAGTAAAACTATTTTTTCGAGCTGTTTAATAGTGCTCATAAAACAACCATCCTACTTAAAGCTCATTACCGATGCTTCTGTTACTTTTTCAGATTGCTTTGTTTATTTATTAACAAAAATTGAATGCGTTGTAAATTTGATAAATTAAAATAGAATAACATTAGATTCAATTGGGTTTAAAAGTGTAATAAAAGGTGTTTTAACAAAATAAAATAATAATAAAAGTTTATAAATAAATAAAAAATAAAAGGAAAACCTTTAAAATAAATTAAAAATATTAGAAAATATTAATTTTTTTGTATAAGTTTATAAAGAAAATTTATAATTTTTATTTCTTTATTTATTGATTAATTATTTCTCCAAATATTTAAAATTTTTCAGTAAAAATAATAAAATACTAAGGAGAAGTGAAAATAAATTTTAAACAAATTTTTTTGATTTAAAATAATTTTTTATGAAACCATTTTTTGAAGTGCTATCAAATTTGTTTAAAGTTTGTTCAATTTTTTAATATTTTTTACTATTAATTGTTTTAAAACAAAATTTCGAAAAATTTTAAATTTATTTATTTAAAAGTTTAAAATAGTTTTAAGTGTTTTCTATCTTAATAATTTATTTATTTTACTTATATCAAGTGTACCCTTTTAAAACTAGTTTTATTTAGTTTGCTGCTTGTATTTCCAAAGGCGCATTCCTTAAGGCTTATTAGCCAACAAAGCACTGTACATCATCGGAAAGCTGTAGACTAGAAGTTAATAAAATAAATATATGTTATTGGAACATTTCGTACATACAGGTAGAGCCGTTTCAACTGTGTGAAAAACTGAAAAACTTGTTTTCAAAAAGAGAGCTGCATTTAATTTAAACAGGCTTAATTTTTTTTTTTCCAAGGCATATAGTCGGATTAAGTACAATATTAGCGAAGGTTTTATTGAAGTTCCGTTCTTAAAATTAGTAAAATGATATAAAAAAAAAAACTTTATAAACCAAGAAAAAAAATGAGTTACTTTTTTATACACGTTCTGTACTGGTAGGAAGAGAGTTATTCTAGTCATTTGGTAAACAAATGTTCTGTTAACTAGAATTATTGCATAGTTCTCTGAAGGTAGAATTATTTTTGTCACTAGTCAATTATTATGAGATATTCTCCGAAAGTACTAAGTATTTCCTAATAGCTAGAATAATTCTACACCAGAGAACAATTAGACACCATTCTCTTTTTTAAACAAGAAATCTCCAAAAAATGGGTGAACAATTAGACACTCTAGTATAGTACATGCTAACACAAGAGTTGATATGGAATATTCTACTATTGCAACAATAACGAGAATTTTAACATTAAGAAAGATTCTGCCTAAAAATTTATATACCTCGAAAGTTTTTATTCCCGCTGCGTAGTTGTAAATCAATTTTTAAGGGATTAACTTCTAAATGATTTAGTTTATAATAAATTGTTTGGTAACTTTTTTACTACAGAATATCATAAAATAATTTTAAAAACACTTTCATTCAATTTTTAACTTTTTCTTACTGTTTTTGAGGGCGTTTCTTTATGCACAAAACAAGTAAAATTAAAAAAAAATCAGGGATACCAAAGTAAAAGATAGTAAGATAAGTTAAGTGATGCAGGGAATGTAATATAAAGTGACGAGCTTGAAGGGAACGTTTGGGAGCACACACTGTAAGATAGAAAATTCACAACCTTATAAGATTAAGTGTAAGTTTATAGCTTCTAAGAAAAATCATTTAGTGCCATTTGTTTATAAAAAAGCTCTTAAAGGAAAAGTAACCCCAAAATAAAACATTTACAAGGGTTTCCGATACATAAATGCGCTTATGCCTCCAAGCTAATGACTTTAAATTGATTGCCGAAAAAAAAAAAGTTAACTTCGAATATCTGAACCAGAGAAGGGAACATATAAACAAGAGTGACAATAGGAAACTAAGAAAAAGTCGCAAAAATAATATTTTATTTGATTGAGCCAAAACTTTATAGCACTACAACAATGCCGTAATAGAAAGGGCTTGAATGAATTTTATACTTGTATTGGCTTCGTAAAAGTAAATCGAGGCCTTCTAATTGCCTACTGGGAGAGCTTGGTGTATTTTTCAAATAGTTTTACAAATTTGTTGCTGTCCTCTTCGCCTCTCAAACGAACGGCAAAGACTTCACCTAAAGGTTCGTTATCTGAATAATCGGCGGCGGTGGCCCATAACCAAGACCATTTGGAAGTTTTTAGGGGTTCCAGTTTCATATCGGAAGTGAGGTAGTGATTGGCACAAACTTTAAGTATCTTATCCCTGCGCATAACAATCCTAACCCTACCGCTTTCTTTGTTCTGCAGAAACTTCAGATCGCCTATTCCACGTTCCTTGAAGGTGTTAACTTCCTTATCAAATCGGTACAATTTAGCGCGAACTGAGAGAAGAGTATCCTCATTTTCTTCTCCCGTCGGTGCCTCCGTCTTTTTGACGTTTAAAATGGGTTCAAATGAAACATCCTTAGCGGCCTCCTCTTTTTCTTCGTTGGTTTCGTGCGCAATCTGGAAGTTAATAATAGAATACATTGAGATCTGAAAGATCCAAATTCAATGTGGGTCACCTGAGAAGGACCGAAAATGGAGGACAGCGGCTTAACTTCAAGAGATTTTCCAAATCCGGAAGAAAAAGTCTTTCCCGGTTGGAGAAAAGAAGAAAAAAGGTTAACAGTAGAACCTTTGTCTTCAGCTAGGGCAGTTGGAGAAGCTGAAGAAATTTCGCTAGGGGTTATGCTCACAGTAAAAGCGGAATCATCCACATTGGTCGTCTTTACATATCCTAAAGGTGTCTTCGGGTCGCTCGCTTCGGTAGACAGCGAATATTTAGAGTTCTCAGGAAGTATCATGGAAGGCATACAAGCAGTAGAGTGTTCAGAAACCAAAACTTTTCCCTCTTCTTTATTAAAAGCAGAGGAGGAAAGTCCGTCCCCTCCTTCACCATCATCTTCACCATCATATACATCCGAGTCATTGTCATCCTCCTCTGTCTCTCTCTCATCGTAAGAAACGTCGGTGTATGCATCGGTGTCTTCATCCGGTTCGTCATAACTGTAGGCATCATCTTCACTGCTCACATAATTCTCATCTTCGCTGGATCGACCGGAATGGGATGTCTCAGGCGCCTCCGACCCAGTTTCTGCTGACTTGAGTCCATGTGGCACCTCCTGGGATTCGGAAGCGGGGCCCTATAGATAGTACAGCTTAAAGGTCGTAACACAAAACTTAAACTAATACCAGGAGAGACTGAGTATCTCCGAGCAACAGAGGGCGAGCGTGTGATTGCGACGGAGAATTCTCACTAGATGTGCGCTCAATTATTGTATAGAAATTCTTTGGGAAGAATAAGGAAGAGGCAAGCTTGATCTGCTCTTCGGTTGGCGTGACCTCCTTAACGATAATAAGCTCATCGTCCTTACTGGACGCCACAGTGGAAGACGTCAATTTTTTTCCCGCTCCGTTATTGAAAGCAATAGAATTTGGGCGAGGGGCAACTTCAGTCTCCTCGGGAAAGGTTGCGCCGGCAATCTTTTCTCGGTCGTCCTTACAGTGGTCTTCGCGAGTACAAGACTCAAACACTTCCTTAAACTTATGGCTATCTTCAGCAGTTTTCAGGCGCAAGGCGAGAAGCTCAGGCGTGGGAGTGTCGTCGGAAAAGTCAGCTGCGGTCGACCAAAGCCATGTGTTTTTGGTAGATTTGAGCGGCTCGATGGTCATGTCTTTAGTCAGGTAATGGTTAGCGCAAACTTTGAGCAGTTTATCCCTCCTCATGAGTAACCGAACTTTCTTCGTTAGTGAATCCTTCAATACTTTCATGATTCCCGTCCCTCTCTCTTTAAAACTTTTATTTGTGGTATCGTAGCGATAAAGTTTACCATGTAGCTCCAGTAAGACTTCTTCGTTTTCTTCACCAGTTAAAGTTTTGACTGGCTTTACTTCCAATATTGGTTCAAAGAACGGTTGAGGGGAGTCATCGGTGGTTCCTTGCGACTCGTTCTCAGCGCTTTTTTTCCCAGCCTCAAGCAGCGAAGAAGTTAGTATAACGTCCCTCTAATAATATAAATACAATGATTATTACCTCATTCCGACTTTCCGCGGTGATCCCAGAAAACGAAGAGCGAATCAGATTTGAAGGCGCTGAGAAATTGAAGGGCTCATTCTTCGAAAATGTTAAAGTGGACGACTTTGAAGGAGTTTCTAAATTTTTCTGTAGATGAACGTCAAGTTGTGCACTACTGCCTGAAAAAGAAAAGCCTGTGAATTTCGGCAAGGAACTCTGATCAGTAGTGGACATCGCCTGCTCGCCAGAAGCAGTCCATACAGCGCGAAAGTCGAAGGGCTTCTGGCTCCTCTCGAGTTGTTTGTTCTCCGCAGGCGTAGCTTCTTGCGGGAGGGCAAGAGAGATATCCATCTGAGACGATTGTAAAGGCACCCTATCCGTCTGTTTCTCTTCTTGAGTGTACTTCTCGCGAAAGTCGAAGGGCTTCTGGCTCCTCTCGAGTTGTTTGTTCTCCGCAGGCGTAGCTTCTTGCGGGAGGGCAAGAGAGATATTCATCTGAGACGATTGTAAAGGCACCCTATCCGTCTGTTTCTCTTCTTGAGTGTACTTCTCGCGAAAGTCGAAGGGCTTCTGGCTCCTCTCGAGTTGTTTGTTCTCCGCAGGCGTAGCTCCTTGCGGGAGGGCGAGAGAGATATTCATCTGAGACGATTGTGAAGGTCCCCTATCCCTCTGTTTCTCTTCTTGAGTGTACTTCTCGAACAATGTTTTGAAAGTCTTGCTATCTTCACAACACTTGAAACGGATGGCAAAAAGCTCCGAAGAAGGCTCTTCGTTGGAAAAGTCAGCAGGGGTGCTCCAAATCCATGCATTTTTCGCGGATGCCATTGGTTTGAGCTCCATCTCCAGAGTCAAGTAATGGTTTGCGCATATTTTAAAAAGATTATCTCTACGCATGAGCAGCCGAACGCGTCCAGTCTGCCGGTGTTGGAGCATTTTTAGAACCCCGACACCCCTCTCCTTGAAGGCCTTGGAAGGCAAATCGAAGCGGTAGAGTTTGGCATGCAGCTGCATGAGACAGTCCTCGTCTTCTTCGCCAGTATGCTCTGCCACTTTCTGGACGTCAAGAATGGGCTTAAACTGCATGGCAGGCTCTGTCTCGCTCCCGGCATTGCTCCTCTCTTGGGCGGCTGCAGAGAAGGGGGGGGGGTTTGGCTCCAACTGCACCTGCTGTGCGTTCTGGACAGAGTTGGCAGAAGAAAGATCGGTAAACGCAAAGGAGAACACGGGAGGCCCGTGGGAACGAGAAGCAGAGAAGGCCTCGGATCCGAGTGGCGTAGTAGAGGGGGATACTGAAGATGCAAGGGAGGAGGTCATGGTAAAAGGCGTCTCTGAGGGCGGTGACGGTATACTTGCAGCCCTCTCGTTCGTGTGGGGCAGACTACCATTCGAATGCCCTCGCTCCATTGGAGGGCGGGAGCCAGAATAGGGACGCTGTGCAGCGCTCATTGGTGAGAAGTAGTCATTTTGCATTAAACTACTGCCGCCATGATGCTGTGACCTTTCAAACTTTTCAGACGCAGGTTCTACTGTGGAAAGCAACTTTATAAAAGAAAAAGAGAGCCGAGAAACCAATACCTCCAAACATATGATACTCTTTGAGACGGGGGACGTCCTTGAAGGCTTTGGAATGATTCCTACAGAGGAACGGAGAGGGGAGCTAAACGCCGCTGCCCTTCAAAGAGAGGGAGCCTACCACAGCTCAATGATGTCCGCCAAGATGTCTGAGGGATCGCCAATCAAGCTTTCTCCCTCTTTGTACCTGTGGACACAGCCGATGATTTTTCCGCATACTATCCGTTGTACCAATGAGCAAGGAGTACCTGAAGCAGCCCTCAGAGACCTGATACATGTGGACCAAGGAAGTCCAGAATACAAAGGGAGAGTCCAAAAAGCCACTTTTCCGGTTGCGCTCGTAAATCTGCAACGGAACAACAGGTTTCCCGACGGGCAGACATAAACCGACAAAGAAGTCGATATCTAATAGTGATAGGCTGAACGGAGGATTAGCAAGCGGAGAGAAACGAAGAGAGAAAGGAGGGAACCTTCCCACTACCGACTGGAGATGGTCAAAGCTGGCAGGAGGCACTCTCCGGCCTCCGAGCTTTGCAAAGGCGGCCTGAAGAAGCGGCTGGAAGCTGGAAAGGCCTACAGGGGCCGGACAATTCTGAGAGATCCGCTGTTCGCAAACAGCACGTTTTGCCCAAACACTTCGCAGCCAGGAAATTCGAGTCAGATCTCCGACGAGCCACTTCATCAGGTGGTGCGGCTGCAGCACTTCTGAACACGCTGTCGCACCAACCGAGAGGATGTCGTACTTAGATACGTCCTGAGAAGTACAAACATAGCAAAAGTGGATGCTCGAAAGTACGCAAGCTTGTGAGCAACCTCTTCGAAAGCCACGTGGTCGCGGAGTGGATAGACAAACTCGTTAAACAACAAATCTCGCTCACAGTTGCCTCCAAAAAACCGGTTCACAACAGAAATGACTTCCTCCTGCCACGAGAAATAGCCCTCTGTCACAGAGCAACAGTTAACAAGTGAGATTGTAAGAAAAAAAATAATTACTAGTGTCCTTGAAGTTTAATAATAACAAGGCGTAAGAACTTTCGGAGAGCCGCTGACCAGCCAGAGAGCGGTAATAAAGGCGCTGCAGTGGAATTTGCCGAAAATCTTCCTTCTTTTCTAAAGGCAACCCGAAGTGTTGAGCGCAGAAACTAAAAAATTTCACGTCATTCTCATCGTCCTACAAAAAGGGTGTGTTTAGCTACTCGCCATACGCAGCGAAGCGGTAAACAACCAATTCGTAAAAGTAATTAGCGCAGCGCAAAAAGAATCTCCCGATATATTCATATAGCATCATGTTCCAGTCGTTCTCGTCAGAAAAGATGTGTACTTCGCGCTCGCACCGGATAACCGCTCGAATGCACTGCAATACAGCAAAGATTGGCCGTCACTGCTTGAAGACGAAAACAAAAAGCGGAGAACTACCTCATAAAAGTCTTTTAGCCTTCCGGTATCACAATAATCAGCCGCGTGAAAACTACATGCGCGATCGCACACCCGCAGAAACGCTTCGCAAAGATCAAAACAAGTTGGGTACACCAAAGAACTTCCAGGAGCTACAAAGATGAAGAGTAGATCTGCAGACTCGCGGAAACTCCGAGCTACCTGCCAGGGCGTTAGGACTGTAGCGAACACTCCTTCCATAGAAGCGATACTTCGGTTCTGCTTTCAGCATATGGGTCATGTGCAACTGAAAAGCCTTTTGTATAGGAAGTTCGGTGATTTTGCAAACTCTTTCTTGAAGCAGAAGAAGCGCTCCGTACCTTCGACACGGCGAACCACCAGTCGGGACAATTATACATCGACAAACCGTACTTCTCTAGGCACCAGTACAGTTTAGCGCGTGTATTGTCAAATCGGTCCTTAAAAAAATAAAATAAAACTAACAAGCCTTGCAAGTACGGTTCTACGCTAACCTGAGGAGCGGGCGCTGCGGTTAAGTACTCTTTAACATACCTAAGGTGCTTCGCTACGTTAAATAAATCAGAATCCTAGCAAGAAAAGAGTAGGGGAACTAAAGATATATAAAAAGGCAAAGGAAGTTTTACAAGTTCCTGCTCCACTCTTTCTATGAGGCGTTCGAGTTTTTTGGATGTCAATAAGGGAACTGCTCTAGAAGCTTCAAGGTTAGATGGAGCTATAAGCGAACGATCTGACCTTTATAGAGGGAAAAAGAGTCTTTAAGATTAAGTATATATTGACTGACTGGGTAACAAAAAACCGTAGCTTAAATAAAAAAAATTCAGTTTTAAAATGTAACATTACAAAAACTCTACATCCTCCTGGCCAGTGTACTCAATAAGAAGCGAAACTTTTATAGTAGTAATAAAAAAACCAATTATTTAAAAAGAAAAAGTAAAAGGGAAAGTAAGCGTGTTACTAGCATCCTCATAACATTCAGGGTTCCGTTGTTCAATATGCTCCTCTAACATCTGGCGGCTAATTTTATTCATACCACCGGCAACCTCTATATACTTTTCAGCCAACTTAACCCATATTTTATTAGCTTTCTAATTATAATTAGAAGTGAATATGAAGCATAAGTGGTACAAAAAATTACTTTATGAAGTTTACCACATTTTCAGACAGTTTGCTGAATCTTGCCACAGTTAACTGCACGTAGTGATCTAACTTCTCCTTTTGAACTTGTTTATGAAAAGTTTTTTGAGAAGATTGTGCTGCCATAGTTTATGTCGTGTCCAATAATGTTTTTAATTTCCCAAAACTGCCTACTCTGTGAAAAGGTGTGTACTGATTTCAGCACATTGCTGTGGTTGGGGTTAGCGACCTTTAGGATTGCACTACAATTAACATGCCTTCCTTATGCTCAGAGTGCCACTAAGAATGAGCCATTTGCTCTTGTAGACAAAACTGAAATAAAGGGACCATGTTTATATAATTTACTCCATACGTTATCATAACAAGTTCCTGCGGCTAATGACCGGCGCACCTTATTTAGTGCGGGACGATATCTTACAAGACGACCTTGGTTTTGAACGAATTGAAGTCTTATTCCGAAATGCAACTTTAATTTCTTCTAAACGAGTTAGTAGGCATCCAAACCACCAATGGGCTCAGGAACTTACATACGAATCCTGAAAAGGCTAACTTTTTCGAAGCGATGCGCTTTAAGCGCATGCTTACAGTTTTGTAATACCTGCCAGAACTGAATACGGATTAAGCCTAAATATAAATTATTTGCGAAATCAATAGTCTGCGCTCGATATTACCGAGCATCTGTACAACTCATTATAAAAATAAAAATTATCATAATCTCTAATAATAGTACAGTTCCGCTATAAAACTGGAGTTCTACACGTTACTCCTTACATTATACTTTTGCACGCTCATAATGTTTTTCTTTAATGGCGCCTAGTTAAGCATACAAAAGTTGAAGACAGTAAGGGTTGGAAAAAGTTTTTAACAAATACTTTAGAAACTTTCACGATAACTAAAAAAGTTTTAGCGTGTTTTAAGGTTTTAAAGGAAAAAAGTAGGGGGGGGGCCTTTGTCAGTGTGAAAGGATTGTGTAGAAAGCTATAGCCCTATACACTTAGGCCCCTGATCAAAGTTTTAATTGTTACTTGTTTATTAGCGTTATAACTTAAGATGTAGGTGCGTCAGCAAGTTAATTCTTTCAAGTACGAATTTATTTAGACAAGAATTACTTTTAAATAAATCAATTACAAGCGACAACTTTATTTTAAAAAGGGAGTGTAACAAATTTAAGGAAAAGACAAATTGGAAAAGGACACGCAAGCAAAACGTATTAAAAAAGAAAAAGTGAATTAAACCGATATATTAAAAAAATTATAAAAATTTCTTTATCTCACTTCTTTGGTTGTAAGGGTTCACTTTTTTAACCATTACGTAAACTTTAGGGTCTTCCATATTTAAGGTGGTTTGCTCAACGGAATAGTTTCTAACTTAACAGTGTTCTTTTAAAAAATTTCTGTTTGAGAGCTTACGGGTATTTGGTTTTAAGTAGAAACTAGCCGGTCTAAAATTTTTAAGAAAATCGGGGTTACCGTTTATGAGAACTCATGCGAAGGTGTTAACTAAATGTTTTTTTGTGTAGAGGTCTTTAACCTCGAAGGCTAATTGTTTTAATTGTATATGAATGACCCGAGCACGGCATTTTTTCCCTTTATTTGGTGATTTTGGCTAAGTGTGGCGCTTCCCAGGAGTCTTTAAATGCACCAAATAAATTATTACCGTGTTGAATCTTTAATAGCTGTGTACTATAATATCTTTTGGCCTATAATATACAATTTACTATGTTATATTTCTAATAGTTTGTAAATATAGCAGTTTTAAAGACCTAATACAGGTGTCAATAAATGGCAATATTGAGCACCTCGAGGGTAGATTAAAAAGTAATTTACAAGTTTTGCTATTGTCAATATAAAATTTACTATTCTAGTCGGGCTTTCAAAATTTCAGTCACAGACTCGCGTTGCATCTTTTTCCTGTAGATCCTCACTTTCAATGAAAGGGAATGACTTCACCATAATTTGTATATGTATTATCTCTGTTGTGTCTACGTATGATAAATTGGTTAAGCGCAGGGTGTTCATCTTTTTAATAAGCGAGTGCCGCAAAAAAAATAATATGGATATCGATACGGAGGCAAATCACTATTTCCTGTAATTCGTTTTTCTTTCGTCAATTCATCAGCGGTTCATATGATTTATATTTTGGGTTATCATAGCTGAGTTTGTTAAGTTTATTAAATTTCTTTTAAGAAAACGAGAAATTTGTTTACTGGTAGCAGTCAGGATGGAGGAAAGTAAAGTTTTGGTATAATATATAATATGCTTTAATTTATGAGTTTGTGAAGCTTTTAGGCTTATCACGTCTTCCTTGGTGTTAAATTTACCGGTTCTTTACGAAGAAGCCTTTTCCGAATAAAAAAAGTTCATATGGTTTGCTGGGTGACCTCCGCCGCAGTTAACTGGAGGTTTTCATATTTGTTAAAAAATTTAAACATAATTTGTAGTCGTGCTTCTTCCGCAATAACCCATTTATTTTTATAGACGCATTAATTGGAGGAATAATCAAAATTTGGCATCGAGAGCATTGACTTAATCAATCCGCCCTTCATTAATCCTACCCAATACGTTTAGCTGAAATATCTTACTTTAGTTCTTAGGGAGTTTGACTGTCTTTAAGAAAACTTCTATTGTAATGGCCGTAAATTAAAATCCTTTTTGAATAATATCCAGATGATTTCCTGAGCCATTTCAGAAAAAAGCCCTCTTTTACGTTTTCTCTTCTCAGGAAGTCGTCATGGGTAATACTTTTAATAGCTCTATTAAGAAAATCTAAAGAGTTTTCTAAAATCAGTTTCAGTAGATCTACTCTAGTTCCTTAATTTTCAATTTATGCGGTGCTTATACTAATTTGCCCGAAAGTAATAAGGGACATAACTTACTCTAGTGTTCATTGTTACGCATTGTCAAAACGCCTGTTTATTTAAGAGCGCTAGCAAAATGGTACTGTTGTTGCTTTAAATAAATGAAAGGGAACAGTTTTTATTTTCTTATCGACCGAAATTTAGTTTATTCTCAAAAACATAAAAGTTCAATAAGAAAGACTTGCTATTCACCTTTTAAGGTTTAAAATTAAGAAATTACAGAAGATAAAAGGAAGTTAAAGAAAACACTAGCATTACCCACTTTTCGAATATATATGTATGTTAGTTTAATATTGCTGATTAAAGAGAAAGTACTGCCAAACTTAAGTTCAGCGTATTTCACTTTATTTGAAAAATACTTTTTTTCGCAATTAAAAAAAACGTATGTGCTCCCTTTTCTTGTGCATTTCAGTAATCCCACCGTAAAACAGAACTATAACGAAATCTCAACTTAATAGAATCACATTTTCAATGGTTTAAATATTAATAAAAATTTACTACTAGGGTAAGTGAAATAAAATATAAAGTGGAAGGGCTTTACCACTAATATACCCTACAGTGGGTGCCCAAACAGCCCTTTTAGTAAATACAGTTTGGTTGTCCGGACTAAGCCTTTATGTCTGCTAGTAACACTCATTTGGTCATCAAAATTCTTGTTGTTGGTGACTCTGGTGCACTTTCTCATACATATGCATTATAACTTTAAGTAATTTATAATCCCACTAAACATTTTTATGAAGTAGCTTTTAAGTAATGCACTTTTTTTAAGTAAAACTATTATTTTATTTTTTTTCCAGGCGTTGGGAAGACCTCCCTTGTAAATGGAATCTGTCATCAGGAAATCTTACACTTCCCCAAGACCACTATCGGATGCTCAATTGATGTTTTGGTTCAATTTTTATATATATTTTGTAGAATAGATTACAATTTTTTTTATACTTAGAAGGAAACCTTTTTTCAAAGGTTAGCTTAGCTTCGTTAGTGAGTTTTTAAAATTTTACTATAGTTATAATTTATGGAAAGTAACTAGTTAGCGAAACGTTGTTAATACAAGCTTTAATAGTTACTGCGTCGTAGAGTTAGCGACTATATACTAGCTCACATAAAACCAACTAAATTATACAAAAATTATGTTTTATCCGTCTTTACTTTAATTCGGTTTTATTTAAGTCTCATACTACACTTAAATTTTCTTCCTAATTTTTTTTATTTTTTGAGTTTTTCTCCTTGGGATGAGTAATCGCAAGTTTCACATCTCTTTAATTTATAAAAATGTTATATAAATCTTTTAAAATTGGTGTTATTTATTAGTCCTCGGTATCTTTTTCACAAAGCCTACGGAAGCTCGTAAACTTTACTTTTTTACATAATTCTACACTATAATTAACGTTATAAGGGTTTTTTTGTAAATTATTCTTTATTAGGATTAGTCGTTTTCTGGTATATATCTCTTTACTCTTGTTGTTTATCCCGCGCATACACCAAGCCAAAGCTAGGATAATTTAAGATCTTATATTCCCCTTTTGAGACTTTATCGTGATTAAGTAAATTGCATAATTCTTTTTACTTTTCTGCAAATTGCTAAGCTTTACACATCTTTCACTTCTATAATAAGATAGAATTTATTTTCCATGATGGTTTAATTCGCTTCCTATAGTGGTTTCATATTTTTAAAATGTAATTTTATTGGTTGGTTTAAATATATATATATTTTTTAGATTCACACTGTAGACGAAAGATCCTACGACATTGAACTTTGGGATATTGCGGGATCTGCCTGTTATAGAAAAAGCCGGTTTATTTTCTACGACCATTTCGATGGTGCAAATTTTGTCATAATATTTTCATACGAATGGTTTTATGTTAAATAAATTTTGAGTAACATCTCGTATTGTCAGTAATTAATGCATTTTAAAGATTTTTGATATATTGTTTAAAAATTAATTCATAATTATTTAAAGTGTAAAATAATTTGGTAGCAATTTTGTTTTTTCATTTGCTCTAGTTAAATGCTTAAAGTAAACTACTATAGTGAGTTGTCGGGAGCACCAATTTTTTTTTCCAACTTTGACACTTTCTAGTTTGGTAAATATTTTTTTTAAATCAGGAATTATATTGGTCCATGATGTCACGAATAGAAAATCCTATGAAAATCTAGACGAATGGTAAGACTAAGATACACGTGCTGGTGGTGATAAACAATAAATAAAGCATCTGTACTTTTTAGCGAATATTAATATTCCGCATGTCGATAATTAAATTTTTTTTAATTATAACGCACTGACCGTACTCGCCGGCTTCCAGTTGGTTTTTTTTAGTTAGCTAAATTCTGCTTGTACTTAAAATTGCTTAAGTGAAAGAAATTTTTAGTAGCGATCGGTTAAAAACTTTAATACATGTTGAACAATAAAATCAAGTGCTGGTAATAAGAAATGCTAAAAAATTATTTTGTTGTCTGCAGGCTCAAAGAAATTTATGCTGCAAGTCCTCAAAATCACAGCCATTTCTACAGCAGAAATCTTATTAGTGAGAGAATTCCTTCATGCCGACCAAGCACGCGGGACCCTGAACTAGGCGAGGGCGACAGGAGTTGGGTCCCGATGATCTTGGTGGGCACTAAAGCAGACTTGGATAGTGGTCGTTTCTTGCTGCTCTCTGCGTCCCTCCTCTTCTTGCTTTCATGCTTTTATTTCTTAAAGGACAGAAAGTTTCGAATAGCTTTTTTCTAGGAGGCGATGGGATTGTAGTGGTTTGCTTTTCTGTCTCGTTTATGTTCTTTTTATAAAACCGAAATTGTTTACAAGGAAAGAAAAGTTAATGCCTTTTTAGGTTAAATAATAGGAAAATATTAGCAATTGAGTAGAAAGAATCTTTATAGTATCCCGTTAACTGCGGCGTTCATTTAATGAATGGATGCGCATATTAATAAAGAATTCAGTTACTGATTGGTCCGGCAGGGTAATTGCAAACTTCGTCTAGCAGGCGCTCCGTTTCGTGTTTGCTATAAAACTTTGTATTCAATATAGTTTTGTTTTTTTCTGAATAATAACCCTTAAAGTTTAAAACCATAAAATTAGAGAAACGTGCTGAATAATACTATATATATTAATATTATTTTTAGTTTTTTTTTAAAAATCTTCAGTCCTTACCAAATTTTTAAAAGTAACCTTATTTTCTTTAGAGCGGATTGAATCGGGATTGTTTTTCTGAGAATAGTGGATTTATGAAAAAAATTAGGTTTTTCTTCGATCGGGTTATCGAATATTCGATTTCCAACTGCAAGAGACGTCATATCAAATAAATTCAGAATAACGTGGAAATTTACGTCGAGTGTTTGCGTAATAGAAATATTCAAAACGGCAATTCTTTCAGAGTTACTTTATTGCCAATAAAACTGTCCTTTAATACGACTGTCAAAGATTTATACTTTGATCGCTTTTCTTTTGGGAGGAACTGTTTTTACTTTTTTATTACAACTTTATGCGCTTAAGAAATAACAGATAACATGTGTCGGTCCTTTTTTTTTAGTCATAACATGTATACGTAATTAATTCCCTTAATTTTTTTAAAAAAATAATTAAATAATGCTTCTTTTGGTCAACTTTTTCAATTGTTTAAATTAAGCGCGCGCGTTAGTATGAGTTTCGCATTGCTTTTTTCTACGTCCTATACTTCCCTAATAAGAAAAGCAAAGCCTTTGAATTAAAACATGGTAGTCGCTGAGTTTTGTTAATTCAATATTATTAACCTTTTTTAATGAGCTCCTTACTTATAAAAGTTAACTGTTTATCTAAAAGAAGCCAAATTTATAAAAAATGATTTCCCAGTTATCTATTTTTTAAGACCATGGGCAAGAAAACTACTCAAAGAAGCGGGCGCACAGCAGTAGGACTCACAATTAGTATTGTTCCTTACTCCTTGCGACAAATAGTTTACCTCTACCACCGTCAACTGTTTTTACAGGTTAGGTTTTCGTAGCACAATGAATTTTTTTTTTTGCACTGGCATTATACGACTGGTCTTCCTACTAAGACCTTAAGCCGCTTAATCTAAACCCCCCTCTTATGCAGGGCTTGGGGCACGAGGATCACAGTGTACGCAATTAGAGAGCTATAATGGCTGTCCCGAAGGACTGAAAAAGCGGGAAATATTCAGTTCGCACTCCCGCCGAACAGCACAGCTGCAAGCCAGACCTCCCCGATTGTGAGCTCGTCACCCAAAAGGGAGGAGCCCCGGGCTACCCTCTGTTTTCCTTTGAATATTTTAAGATATATTTGATATAGCGTTACTTTATTTAAAATTCCTTTTCTTTTGTAAAGGCACGAAAACTTTGGTCTTATAACGTACACGGACAACTTGTTCAATTCAAAAATTATAGAGCACGAGTAACTCAAGAGATGTGTTTCTCCCTCATAATTAGGCCCATGAAGGTAAATAGTTTCAATTACGATCTTTACCTTGCTAATTTAATTTTTGTCTTGCGGAAGAAACAGCCTTTTTTCTAAATTTCTTATTATTATTTTGGATTTTAGTCATTCTATCCAGAAAGGAAGCAAAGACTACCAAACACCGATGTTACTGTTAATCCGTATGTGATAAAATGAAAACTTAAGCCGACACCCAACACAAAAACAAAAATAAAAATTAAAAATTTGCCAAATATAGAATGGCCAGGTTATTGGATGAAAAAATCAAATTTTTTTAAAAATTTTTTTTTTAAATTACAAAAATAAGGAAGCTCATTGGTCGACAATACGCAATTTTAGTATTAAAGAGATATAACTAGCTAGCCAGTCGGCCTCTTAAGTAATTCTTTATTTATTTTTATTAGTTGGTTACGTGCCTCTCATCAGTTCATCAACAGCCTCTATGCCCTACCGTAAAGTAAAATATCAAATTTATCTCATTTCTTCGGAATTTTTGTTAAGTATTTACTTTTTTCTTAGCCCTTCCTTAGTTTTTTCCTTTGAAATATTATCCAGCCTATTCAAGATCAATCAAAAAGTTGTCGGTAGGCGTGATCAATATATTAACCTAGCCCTTTTCTGCACGAATGTCCTTTAACTAAATTAAATAAGTTTTAGTATCTATTTGAGGTTGAATAGACTATCTTAGCGCCCTGTAGCGTATTTGTAAATTTGAGCTTTTACTTCTCGAAAAATATTAACCAAAGAAATAATGAAAGACTGCGTTAAGGATACTCTCATTACGAAATACGAGGCGCTCAAATTAAATATGTCAGGGTGCATGGAGCGCTTTTGAAACCATTTAGTCAAGTTTGGAGAAAAATAGGGTCTTTACTTTTAAAAAATCCAATACCAAAGACATGATGTAATTTATTGTCTAATGAATATTGCACTTCAATACCTGTTTTACAACTTTTTATATAAAAAAAAGGTATAAATTGACTGGTCAAAATAATGTTAAAAATACGCTTGAAATTTTTTTATTAATAACCAAGAAAGAGGTCTAGAGAGCGTGAAAGGAATAGAAAACAGTAAAATGTATTTTTAGGTAAAAAAAATTATAAACTCTGCTCCGCGAAGTTCTTGCGATTTAACTAAAGCAACTGTCTTATAAGAGATAAAAGGAAGGGCAGAAATAGAACTTTTACCGAATTACTTCGCACTACACCTGATAAGCATTAAACTCTTAGGGAAACACGTTGTTAACCCTACACTAGTCGCAGGGGGTCTCCCAGATTTGGAAATTATTTTTTCTTAATTCTCAATTCAGGTAGAAGTTAAAATTTAGTATGACCTGTATCCTAATATCTCAATAAACAACAAATGTTCTAAAATTAACGGTATTTTTTATTAAATACAAAAGTAAAAAATTTAAAAAAAATTCAAGGGGTCTGAGAGGCCTACTGCGACTAGTGTAGGGTTAAAGGTTTTTGTACGCTGCTTGCGCGCGTATATTAATAACACAGTATATAATGTTATGGGCTTTATATAAGCGCAAGTTATAAATCTAACTTTTAATTGGTGCGCATTTACCCGTAATCTATCATTAGAGCCCAGCTGTTTCTAAATGAAAAGCGCAGTTGAAGGTTCACATAGTCTTAAGCTTTCTTACACTCTGTGGGACTAAGTTATGCCATTCAAGTTTAATAAATAAAAGTTGAACGTCTATAGAACCAGAACGGTAATTTAAATGTATTTAAAGCAGCAGATCTTCAATTTTAAGTCCAGTCTCAGGGTAATTAAAAAAAACTTAGGACCAGTAATATTACTTGGAACTCATCTTTATGCGTCCACGTCTTCCGTTTACTGTTTAATTTTTCCGGGGAATTCTGTTGTTCTATCTATAATTTAACTTAAAAACTTAAAATTTAGAGAAAGGTAACCTGTGTGCAAAAAATAATCACGGATCGATTTGCAACTCCAACGTTTTATAACGTCAACATTGTCAAAAGTCGGGTTGGACATTGCAGGATCGACGGGGTAGCTTATATTATTAGCCAGAAAAGTTATTAATAATTATCTTTGCGAAGGATAATTTGCTAATGTAGGCTTAACGTTACGAAATTTTAATTTTTTTATAGAGCGAATATTTTACATATAATACCATAAAGATATTTGAAGATAGTACTTATTAACTTAGAACGCAGTTTTAAGCGATGGCTGCTAGTAAATGCGTTTAACCGAATAAATTGCTCGAGTTAACGCTTAAATACTAAAATGTACTTTCCACCCATTAACTCTTGCGGAGCTATTGATACTCTACATTTTGATATTTCTCAGGCGACCTGGTTAAGGGGTTTAAGGAATAACCCCTCGATGCGTGGGGGCCCTCCTTAAAATTATATATATGTATGTTTGCTAGTGTACTAAACATTTCTATTTATGGTCAGTGAGCACTATAGAAAATATTAAAGGCGCTATATGCTGTACTATAATCTTCATAGTTTTTCAATGCTTACTTAAATAAACTAAAAAACATCAAAGCTCTATAAAAATAAGTGTAGATGAAATTAAGTATACCACTCCATATCTCCTTCATAAGGAACACAGTATTTCTGAACTTCAGAGTATTCAAGTGAATAATCAAGCCACTTCTATTTGTTTATATGAAAAGAAAGTATATAGTAAGCAGACAACATACAGAAACAAAGTCGCGTAAAACATACAACAAGTAAAGTTTTTTAATAAATAAAAACATTTAATGAACACACCCAACTTCGGTGCTTATACTTATTTCTATCTAATAAATGGGGAAAAGCGGCCCCACAGAGCGACTCCTGCCAACTAATATAGGAACGTGCGAAGTATGAAAATCACTAAATAAGAAAGGAAGTCACTGTGAACTGTCAAGTAATTTGAATGCGGTTGTTATTCGGCTAGCACTAAAGTAAAGCAGAAGAATGAGCAACATAGTCGAACAGCAAATTCGTCTCGAGTACAGTTCTCGTGCTCAGACAATGATATAAATTTTGTAAAAATGTCTAGAGAACCTCAACAACCGTATCTTCAAGAACAACTGGCATGCGGTCGTGCAACCAATGAAGCGCTTTAGTGCTCTTGCACGTGAGAATACAAAAGGTTTCTATTGGCTCTTTTATGTATATCGAGAAATCAGGCACATTTTTATACTACTTTAAGTTGTACAGTTGCTTAAACATTTTAGTATTATAACAATCTCTAAATTTATTAGTTTTCAGTGATTATAAATAAATAAATAAATGAGCCATACAGAGCTATATATACAATTAGAACTTTGTAAGGTAAAAAAGTTTGTTAATCAGTGTTATAATGGAAATTGATAGCTGTAAAGTGTAAAAATATAATAAAGAATTTTAATAATAAAATAAGGCTATAATATTTTTATAAGCGTTAAAAAAATTTAAAAAACATAAAACAATAAGTATATTATAGAAAGAAAATCATAAGTTTTAATAAAGTAAATAAAAAATACAAAAAATAAACTTATTTAACTATGAAGACCTTTCGACTGGTGTTTCTTACTTCGTGAATATATACAAGCCATCAATAGCAACTTTGCATCTGCTCTACGAATGTAAAAAGGTTGCTTTTTGACGCCTTGTTTTTGCCACTCAAAAAATCTAAAGTATTTTCTTATTATTAAAATATTAATTTTTTTTAAAATTACAAAAAGGCAAATAGTAATTAGTAGATATATGTAATGGACGAGTATATAGTTGTTTATTCGGTTGCGCTTTCAGCAGTTACACAACATCTTTATGGAGAAAAATATTCTCTAAGGTTGAAAGATCTTACCTTTACGATATAAATTTAATTATAACATTAAATGTATTAACCTCAGTTAGATATATAATATTGTTTAGTAAATAAATATAAACATGCCACAAGCCTCTACTCTGCCGTGAGTGCTATCCACGATAAATGTAAGAATAGAAAGTATTATATTAGAAAGAAACTTCTAGTACACTATAAAACAGTTTGCCAAAAACGCTGTCATTGAAAGGACACTTATTTTAACTTTATTTCTAGGAAATCGCCCAGAAGCCGATTAAAGAAGTGCTTTTTAGTTCGCTAATTTATACAATTAAAATTGTTTAAAAAAATTTTCAAATAGATATATTAAAATAGCAGTTACACAGAAAAAAAGGTTGCCATAAATTTTCTACACTTGAACATACGTATAAGAAGAAAAATATTTTATTAGCAAACCCTTCCGCGGGCAACACGCATCTGTTACACTGGGCGTAAGGCTTAAACCTTAGAAAAAATTAATAACTATGCATTTTAAGAACCAATATTATTAATAATACGTTGGTTTTTCCAAGATTGTTTCACTTCTAGCATTAATAAGTTTTTGTGCATCTGAAGATTTTGAGTTATTCCAATGAGGTTCTAACCCCCAACGCTGGTAATAATACAATAATAAAGAAAATATGCATAGCCAAGCATATAATAACCATTACAGACAGATACCGACTGCGAACTTCGTTTATTTTAAGAATGGTGCAGAAACGCCCTGGATAAATAAATATTCAGGTAAACCTAACAATTGTAAGAGGCACGCTTTAAATTTTTATAAATGAAAGTGCAACCAGGACATATGTTATAGGAAGGCTTAAATTTTAAAGCATTCTCAAGGTCATCTCCTTTAGCTTTGCACAAACTTTGAAGTTCTTTGTATGTCTATAATTTTAAAAAATCTATAATTTACAAATTTTTTAACTTCTAAAGTAGTTTCCAGCACGCCACTTCTTATTTTATACCAAACTTTTAGGTTTTCTATAACTAAATTATTAAGTTAAATTATTTAATTGTACTAAAGATAATATACTTTAATTATATGTCGAGTCAATTATAGAATCTTATTTAAATTACTAACCCTAGCACAACTAAAACGTCCGCACATAGGAAGAATTGTGAAGGAGAAAAAAGTTAAAAGTAGTTCTAAATGCCAACTTTTTTTATAAAAAGCATTAAAAATGAACCAATAGTTAAGACTATAACCAATAATTTTTATTCCGCCCCCGTAACGTTTAGATAACAACTGGGCTAAAGTTGTTATAATGGCACATACCTTTCCTCTTCTAAAGTACAGTATTTTTAACTTATTTTTGGTGGGGGCCTCTTTAGTAATTAGGGTTACAACTACCTGCATTGTCATTGACTTAATTACATATCTTCTACTCTCTTTTTGTAGTAAAGTATTTGAATTCCGTTTATTTTATTGAAGCAGAAATTAAAATTTTTTTAATGTTAGCCAATATGTTTATATATGAATATTTTTACTCTAATCCTTACCTTATAAGGACGTACGTTACAACTTATTCTATAAAGGCTAGTGAACGATGGTTGTGGGTTAAAATGAAATAAATTCCGCTATACGCACTTATTTAATATTTATACAGCCCGTAAAAGTAAAAAACAGTATTTTTAGACTGTTTCCCCATTGAGAAAAACGCATTTGAAAACAAGTTAACTTGCTAAAGATAATTCGTGTAGGATGAACTCCGTTTAGCATTACGGCTAATTTTCCTACTAAATACGGTGGAAAATAAGAAGAGAAGAGCTGCTGTTTATGTTTTAAATCTCCTGTTAAACAATTATTTTATAAGAAATAAGAAATAAAATTAATAAAATTTTAAATAAATGATAGAGTGCTTTTTAGTAAGTAATTATTACTTCTTAACTTGAAATTTGTTACAATTTAAGCACCGCAAAGTTTAAGACGAATAAGGGCTTGACACTATAAAAAAAAATAAGTTTGCTTAACTTCAATATAGGAATTATTATTAAAAAAATATAGATTTGAAAAAAACAGACTTTTTAACGGAACAATTTTGGTTTTAAAGTAAGACTATTAAAAAAAAAACTAATTTATAACTAGAGAAAGCACAGAAACGGAACTTTTGATGCAAAAACTAGATAGAATAAAAAAAGAATAAAATCCGTCCCTAATTTAATTTTTATTTGGCGCTCTATCAAGTCAACACTCACCAGAATATTTTAAAACTTTATTAGGAGTAGTTGCTTACAAAGTTGCGTAAATATTTTTTAACTTGACACCAGGAGATTAGATAAAAGCAGAAGTTTCTTGATTTTTAAGAAAGACTAAAAAGTGAGCACTCAAAATCACACATTAGACACCCATTCATCCTAGGATTAACCGAGGCCAATACTTTAAAGTTTTCAAGAGGCTACCGCTGAAAAAGTGACAATGACTGTGACCCTTAACTAAATAATAACCCACAAAGGTTATTTTTGAGAAGTTTTCTCTAACAAAAACTTTTTACCGCATGAGTTCGAATACAAGGCGAACGCCCCCGAAGGAAAAAACGATGACAAAGGTAACGGTTATACTATAAGCCGAAACTATTTTTAGCGACACCCACAATTAGACAGTAGTTTAAATTACAGAAGTTAAAAGAAAAAGTTATAAACTCCTCTCGTCAACGATGTGCGTAACCATGAACTGCTGCCTCTTATCGCGACTGTGGATCAAAATGTTAATGTGTCCTCTTAAATAATGCCTTAGGACAGAAAAGGTTAGAAATGGTTCAAAAAAAAAATGAGTTTTTGTTTTGAAAGAAAAACATATGAGGGCCTATCGGTTAAAAAACCACGAAGCTTAACACCTCTACAGGGTCATTTAAATGGGAAAAATACGTTTCCTGAAAGGCAAAAATATTCTCTAGCGGCTTTACAATTCCGTGCGTTGGAAGATACACAAATGCTTACATTGTTATTACTTTAGAAAGAGTATCATGACTGCCCCGGAGACCTACCTGTTTCGTCTTTTACCACTAGGCCTTGAGAGATAAAAACCCGCTGAAAACTACCAAGAGTGTTTAGCAGGTTGAATACGTAAAACCATCATCCTGGATCGAGAGTTTTCGTCGTAGCTCAGCGATTAAGAGCATTGACGCGCATACTCAATGCCGTGGGTTCGTTTCCCACCGACGTGACTTTCTTTTTCGGTCTTTGATGGTGGCTTATTTAACCTCGCCCTCATGAATTCTAACGGCTTTAAAAAGTAGCCCCAAGGTTTGTTAAGGACATTGACCAGGGTTGCTGTCAGTTCTCTATTTAAGGCTGAAAGGCTTTTGTAGAGTATTTTTTATTTTATGTTAATGGTTTTTCATGGTGCTCGAGGGATCAAAAAAACACCGAATTAACGATCTCTTAAAAAGAGTGATACTGTACAATTTATATTTAGACTTGTACTAGTCCTAACCTCTATTAGAATACTCAAAAATTTAAAGAGCATTGCGGATGGCAATATATCGTTCGACGCCCCCTTACTCCCCATTAAGCTTCGACCTGTAATCAGTTGTTTTGACTAAAAATTCGTTTGTAGGTGGTATCAGCATCGCGTTGAAAAAGGGTAGCTTGGGTCTCCGGTAGGAACTCTTGATAGAAAGCCTCATTTCGAACAAACCATGCCGCGCTCACCATGAGGCTTAGCGGCTTGTGTTGTATCCTCTGAAATGAGGATATTACTCCCGGCAAGTCGTAGACACAGGCAGCGGATGCGTATGCTCAGTTCCGCACATATAAAAAGATGTCATCCTTCTAGTAAAATTACGGTAGGTTAAAAAGAACTACGGAGCAGGTTATTTGTTAATAAAGTTCTTGTGCTATACACTTTTTTGACATCAAGAGGAAAACAGCGCCTGTTGCCTTCTTAAAGTAGAAGGCACGGCTCGTTCATCCTGTAGACGAAAGAGTTGTTCAATCATTGAAAACTCTTGCCGACAAGGCATGACTCCCGTCAACTCGAGCTTTCAGGCGTCGGTATGCCTACTTGGCCAACTGCAGACAAGAGGCAAATACACCTATATTTGTTTGGCATAAAGGCTGGTCTTCGGCAGTCACCAAAAAGTAGCCGCCTTCCAAAAGCAACGAGAAAGGAGTCGAAAGCTATCTCAAGCTGAAGAGGCAACCCGAGTATTCCCGTCCTTGATTTCGACTGTGGTAAAGAGCTTAATCTGCTCTCCAGCATTAGCGAGGGAGTTTCTTGCTCTATCTCTCACACGTAGCTTTTCACTATATAAAATTGCATGAAACTATTAAATTCCTTTGCTTCTAACTAAGAAGTTTACCATATACTGAAGAAGTGCGGTATCCCCTCTGAAGGAGTTAATAATGATAGAGATTACGCCATTTTATCTTATACAAACCCAAGCAAGATAGGATAAATCTTTATATGACGTGCAATACTCCTTTGAAATATTAGTCAATCAAAGAGAAGGCTCTTTGTCGACTTTAAAAGCGGAGTTGACAGCAATAGGAAAAGCAATATAAAGAAAGCGCTGTTCTTCGAAAATTGCATCCGAGTGTGTGCAGCTGTCGCAAAATTAGGAGCACAAAAATGAATTGAAACCTATTCGACTATTTATATTTTTTTTTATTAGAAAAACCATTGTATGCAGACACATGCTTCATCAGTTAGGAAAGATGGAAATAACTCCCTTAAGTCACATAACAAAAATTTGCTTTACTACACATCGCATATGATTGCACCACGTGAGCCGATTTTGTCACAAATCATTTTCATTGTAGTTAGCCAACTTTAGTAACGTCAAAAAAACTAGAAAAAGATTTAAAAAACACTATTACCTTTGCTATATTATTTTTTTATTAAGTTTACTAAGTATATTTTTATATTTACCAGCAAACAAGGAGAAGAACAGTTAAATCTTCTTAAACATTTTGTAACCATTTTATAACAGGAAAAAAAGCCGTTACCTAAGTTTTCCAGCTAAATTTCACCTTGTAGTTTCTCAACATTAAGTTGTAAATGCAATTATTTAAGGTTGTTCTAACAAGTCAGCTCTTTAGCAGTTATAATAGCTTATATCGACTAAATTTAAGCTAGCAACGCTATGACTCGAAGTAAATAAATTAGTTAATTAATGTCTTTCTAATAAGTTTAGATATAATAATAATAAAAAATTCAATAATCATAAGCAAAGTATATATGCTAAAAAAAAACTAAGCATTTTGTCTCGAAGAGTAAACATAGTTTGCGGATGTTTTTTTTTTTTAAAAAGTAAACCTATTTCTCAATCTTATAAATATTTTACTTATCTACATACATATAACCTATTTGTAATTAACTTATGTATTATTAATGTTTACTTTTAATTCTTTACTTGTATGATCCCATTAATTCTTTTCTGAGGAAGGTGATTAGCGAGCACTTATTGCTAATATACTAGCTATTATTGAAGAACTTAGAAAAGAGTAACTCTTTACTAAAGCCGAGCTAAATATAGTTAAAAAAAAATTTCAAAAAAATGTTTACTAAATGGAGGAAAGAACTTAATTTTGTTTTAATAATTACAACTAATCCATACTCCTCCCTACAAATGTTATACAAATCTTGAGCCACCGAAAAAATTCTGCTTGAAAATAATGAGTTACTGAAGAGTATTCAAAACAGAAATAACATTTTTGTTTTTGGTAAGCAATAATTATATTAACCCTACCAATACTAGTAAACAAAGATGTATAGATAAAACTAAAAATGTTAGTTGCGAAACTTCTGACTGAATAAAATATTATTAATAAATACCATAAGGATTACAAAATAAATCTGCATAGTGTTATTGAGGTTATTCACTAAGATAAAACTAAATGATGGTAATAATGCTTTTAAAAGTAATATGCTTTCCCCACCAAAAAAAACTTCTGACGAAAAACCTTTTTTATGTTTGAGTTGGCTAAATCGAAACAGTGAGATGAAAAAAAGTGATACTAATAGTTGGCGAAGAGAAGAATTGACCCAAGACTATAATGGAAACTACTAAATGTAAACTAAATATACTAGACGCTATCATCGTTTCGCACGGCTTTAAAATATATTTAAAGACTTTAGATGACTATTGCAAAATTAGAAACTGTTTGATCATTAAATGCTAGTATTATACCTACGAAATTCCAGAAGATAATGACTAAAAGTAGTAATAAGGAGTCTAATGAGCGGATTAGACTAGAGTATGGTTACAGACTTGAAAAAACATGATTTTAATCCTATACAGGAAATGAAAAAAAAGAATCCCCGCCCACTAATTTACCCTCTTGTTCTAGAAAAAACCTTTAAAATATGGCACCTGTTTGCAGAATTAAAGTCCGGTTGAGTCACTGCATCAAAAGAATCTTGCAAGTAATGCTATTGCTGTCAGCTTTACGCCCACATCCAGAATAGCTGTCATGCCAAGCCAATGTGTTAGATGTGAGAAGAGAATCTTACATTTAAGTATTTTTACTTTAAAAACAAACCAAGTATCTAAGCTAATATCAGTGAGAATTATCCGCTGATTTATATAAATTATACTGCTTTTTCGGCTTTAAAATTAATAGAATAAAGGTGAACAATGCTTACACTGTATGTACCAATAATTCTGATAATAACTAAAGTGCTGAAATGAATAATCATATTTTATCGTAAGCGAACATCGTAAAAAAATATTCCTCGAGTGATAAAAACAGACTAGACCATAATATAAGGTCATTACTTAGAACTCTAACAAAAAATGACAATCAAGAAGTATGAACCTACAACTTGTAGCATTTATTACATCTAATATGGCATATGACTTGGAATGCAAACGACTATTGAAAAGTGCGTGGTTAATAAAGTACTTTTATCCCTTTCAATTATAAATTTTCCGGTTTAGGTTTCTTACCTCCCTATTTTATATAGCCTACCCCATTATATTTCAAAAAGTGAAATGTAGCTTTCTTCTCTGTCTAGACTTAATTCATGTGCGTTGACTCTATTGCACACGAATCATGCCGCGGGTGTAGAGTTAAATTTAATAGTTTACATGGTGCTTAATACAATATGTTTTTATTAAGCTATAGCGTTAAGGATAGGTGTATGCGAAAGTAGGTAGGAACAAAATTTTATTATATCAATTGTGTGGCATTAGTGGCAAATCATGAAACAATTCCTAGTACGTATACTACTTGATTGTCAGCTCTCTTTTAAACATATGAATAATCCTACTATTTTTGCGTCAACTATCAAGTAACTATTTTAAAAAGGTGTAATGACATAAAAACCTTATAAAGCTAAAAATTAAATTTGCTTTCTAAAAAAAGCATCTTTACCTTATTCAATTAATACATTTGATAAATTACTGTAATTTATGCTTATTGCGTGTACAAGTAATTAATTTACTTGACTATGACACCTTTTCTAGTAGTAGTACTTGCGCACCTTTACTATGTGTGTGCATTTAAACGTAGATGTGGGGCGCTTTTTGAACAACTCTTTCCAGATGACCAGACCGATCCCAATCTAGATGAAGTTAAAAAATTTTGTCCGGGAATTACTTCCACCTGTTGCTCTAAAAAGTTAGTTTTAGAACTTAATGAATATTATAAATTTGGAAAAAAAAAATTTAATGACGCAAAATTCGAAGAAAACTGTAAAAATAATTTTAAAACATACTCTTCCGTTAGCCTTTGTGGTACTTGTAACGCCTCACTGGCATATGCGCAACTCCCTCCTCTTATAAATAACTACGACCTTTGTTATGATTGTGGACCAAAATATTACAGACAACTTCGTAACAGTCAGGACGAAATAAATGCAAAAAACCTCATTTTTCAACGGATTGCCATGCTGGATATGGAGTACCTAAAACTTTGTTTAGGCTCCCGCATTTTAAATTTTTGTAAATCAATTAATTTTATGGTATTATTCCTTATAGTTATCTAGCTCAAGTACAGCTACTTTTTTTCCCAACAACTAAATAATCAATATAAAATTTCTACTAACTATTATTAAAAAAAGGCTCATGAAACATTATTCTAGTCTAGTTTCCAGCTTTACTTTTATAAATACTAAATTTTTAGGCAGTGCTATTTTGTGTCATAATCAACTTCTATAATAAACGCATAAATAACGGTTTTAAAGAAAAACCTCGTATAGATTCTTAACAGATTAAGTGTACAACGCTCTGTGGGGACACACGGGTTCTATTCCTTAAGGCAGACAAGTTAGTGGAGATTTCAGGGAGCCAGATAGAGGATTATCTAGGATTGAGTAGTCAAAATTTTAAAGGTTAGATATCCGAGAGACTTGAGACACTGGAAGCTTAAATTTATGATAAAATGATAGGCAGAAAGGATGTGCTTCGGGTTTCTTTTAATTTGGAAAAAGAAGGGCTTGCCTGCGACATGCTATTAAGTCACTTAGGCTGTACAGAAGACTCTGTGTTTTTTTATAAATAGAAGCTGTTATAACCTGGCAAAATCTGAATGGAAACAAAAGATTTGTTAATTACTTCCACGCTAACTTTAACCAAGTTCAGGTAAAATAATAACATTATTTTTCTTTTTTATAAAATTATCTTTGCAGCAGTTAGTGGGTGTGCAACTTTTTTGAAATAGTGGTGTTGCAAAAAAAAGATCTAGCAACTTGTAACTCTGTATCTAAACTTATAAATTTTTTTTTAGAAAACTTTAATCCTTCCTCAGCAACAAAAATTAAAAAAAAATTATAGTGTTTATTCAAGAGTTGTTAACTATGGACTGTGTATATTCAGTTAAATGAGCACTAATGAGAACTACGGATTAATGTGCATCCTTTTAAAAGTTTGAACGTATAAAAGTCAATTCGCTAGTTATAAACATGATAAAAATATGTGCACATCGAGAAGCGTGAAGCGTATAAAACCTTGACTTGACGTACTCTCGAGAGATTATAATCTGTTGGGTGTGGCGCGTAGTATTTTAAGTAAAAAGTTTCTAGTTCTACCTTCACCATATTAATTTAATTTAGGCGCTATACTTAAATCGTAAGAATTACGCGAAGCGGAGTTTTATAAATAAGAAATATAAAAAAATATTAAATTAAAGTTGCAATTGCTTGAACAAGTATAAGAATTGCTATAAATTACAAATAGCAAACAAATTAACAATCGATAAATATAATAGAAGAAGTTATTATTAATAGAGTTACAGAGTAAGGTAAACCTCGCATAAGTAACATACTCTCATGGCTATTCAAAAGGTCGTTATTTAAATGAAAACCCTCTTGGCGGCCAATCGCAAGTAAAGAAATTAAATAATTAAGATTTATTTTACTGGTCAGATATGGAAATATAAATATTAAAATGCAACTGCTTTTTTCTATACATTCTTAGTTTTAGGGTCGCGTCATGGTAGTTACTACTACCCAGAGATTGTCTGAGAAGAATCAGCTTCAAGAGGATGTTTGTAAAAAGATTAATGATTATGGTGAGAATCTGGGTTATTGCAAAGTTACTACGTCTATTTATATTTGGCACTTTAGGTTTTATTCCCAAAGAAAAATGCGAAGATGAGGTTGACTGGTTTTTTAATAAGCTAGGAATTGTCGAGAGATTTTTTTACAAGCAAAATTTTGAAAGGATTGTAGAATATATTCATTCAATATATGCTTCAAAAATTAAAGCTCTTACCAAATTTACGGATGCTGATAAAGGTAAAGGAAGTTATAACAACTCTTTTTTGTTTAAAGTTGAGCACATTTTTGACGGTGGAGCCATAATGTTATGTAATAGCCAGCCAGGTGAGAAAATATTAAACTGTAGTTACTATAAAGGAATGTTATTTATCTCAAATTATTTTTGCTCTATAGGAATTTCAGTGGCTTCTGGCCCCCAGTTTGAAAAAAAAATAGACGCAGAATACTTACACAACGACGAGTTAGTTGGTATAAATACATATAATAACAGTGATAAATATATATATATTTTTTCATCTTTAGGTGATGTATACCGCGTAGAAACATATCGCTCGAAAGGTTCGGTTGGAGAAAATATGGAATCGCAGCTTCGCTGCTACTTTGTCGAAAAATGCATATTTCTTAACAGCGGCGTCAGTCCTTTAAAAAGCAAAGAACTCAATATAAAGCTATTAAGTTCAACTCGCCTTTTAGAAATGGCTAATGAGCGCCTTCTTAGTGACTACGAAGCACTACTCAAAACTGCGGTGCTCCGGAAAGGCCCAGTGTCTTCTTATAGGTACCGCGAAAAGAGCGGTAAAGATATAAGTTGCAGACTATTTATCTGTTACAAGAGAGGTAGATCTTTAGTATTATTCGAGTTTAAGGTGTATATATTCCTTCTTAGGTGAGGGAACGCGCAACTTTTTCTCCAGTTTGTCCGATCTCTACCACTTTTATGACATGTACACCTCGAAGAAATATGTGGAGTATTTTGCAAACGGGATGGTCATTGTTTCTCTGGATCTGAGACAGCTGCCCCACTCTAGACATAAGGATCTGAGGAAAGTGATGCCGCAGCTGGTCAAGGAGATCAGCCTGCTGTTTTTGCTTCCTGTCTTTTCTCTCCACGAGTTGTTTTTGCGTAAAGAACTCAGTGTCATGGAAACGACATATGCGTATGCGGCCTGGCTATTCTCCGGACACTTTCTGAACCGTTTAGGCCACGAGTACGAGTCACTGGCGAACATGCTGGACTTAACGCGTGACGATCATCTGGATATCTTATCGAAAGCAATATATGCTTTTAATTTTTTTTTAGCAGTTAACTTATTTTTATTCATAGTTAAAGTCGCGCTTGCGCCTGGACACATTTTCTGAAAAATACATCAAAGAAATTATATTGAAATACCCTCTGCTTATCCACGTTTTATACCGAAATTTCCATTATGAGTTTTATCCACTTTGCAACAGCGGGGCTGCTGGGGAGGACGGAATGGAGCGATCAAACTCCCTCGCGTTGCTGGAGAGCAGTAAAGATATGAATATCGACGAGATCCACTCGCTAATAAAGAAAACGGTCGCCACGAAAAACGAGAAGATTGTGTTTGAGTGTCTTCTCACATTTAATCAGCACATACTGAAAACCAACTTCTTCATGACTACCAAAGTGGCACTTTCTTTTAGACTTGATCCCACTTTTTTATCGAGCTACGAGTATCCGCAGAAGCCCTTTGGTCTTTTTTTCATGGTTGGGCGTGAGTTCCGTGGCTTCCACGTCCGCTTTGCGGACGTTGCGCGAGGAGGCATTAGAGTGATTAGGTCCCCCACCCAAGAAGTTTATCGTAGAAACGTCATTTCTCTTTTCGATGAGAACTACAACTTGGCCTTAACACAGCAGTTGAAAAATAAAGATATACCGGAAGGCGGTAGTAAAGGTATTCCAAAAGCCTCTTACTTTTAGTTATTGCTCATTATAATTTATATACAATAATGATAGGAACTATTCTATTGATGCCGGAACACAATCATATGCCGGAAGTGGCCTTTAAAAAATACGTTGATGCTATTCTTGATTTACTGGTGGTCGAGCAGAGCCCGGGAATTAAAGACAAGCTTGTGGACAAGTACGGGAGGGAAGAGTTACTATTTTTAGGGCCGGACGAGGGGACTGCTGGTTTGATGGATTGGGCTAGTATTCACGCCAAAAAGAGAAACGCTTCGTTTTGGAGAGCTTTTACGACCGGTAAGTCACCATCCCTCGGAGGGATCCCCCATGATGTGTATGGCATGACCACTCGCTCCATCCGCCAGTATATCCAGGGCATCTACAAAAAGGAGGGCCTATTAGAAGAAGAGGTCACTAAGTTCCAGACTGGCGGCCCCGACGGGGACTTAGGCTCGAACGAGATTAAGCTATCTAAAGACAAGACTATTGCAATTGTAGATGGCAGCGGAGTTCTGTGCGATCCAGACGGGCTCTGCCGCGATGAGCTCCTCCGCCTGGCTTCTCAAAGGAAGATGATTTCGGAGTTTGACAAAAAAAAACTGGGGACACGTGGTTTCAGAGTTCTCATATCCGAAAACAGTAAAACCCTTCCCGACGGGACGATAGTGGAAAGCGGGCTTCAGTTTAGGAACAGTTTTCACTTAAACAGGCGCGCGTCAGCCACCATTTTTGTCCCCTGCGGTGGTCGTCCAGAGGCTATTAACATATCTAACGTTAAACAATTATTTGATCCGGACGGCAAGCCCATGTTCCCTTATATTGTGGAAGGCGCCAATTTGTTTATAAGTCAGCACGCCAGGCACAAAATTGAGAAGGCTGGGGTTATTATTTTCAAGGATTCCAGTGCTAATAAGGGCGGTGTCACATCATCCTCGTTGGAGGTGCTTTCAGGTTTAGCGATGACCGATGAGCAGTACGATAAACACATGTGCGTGCAGAATGATACTGCTCCTGAGTTTTACAAGCGCTATGTGCGTGAAGTGCAGGAGATCATCGAGAGAAACGCCACGCTTGAGTTTGAATGTATCTGGAAAGAACACAAACGAACGGGCCTATCACGCATTACCATTGCTGATAACCTTTCACAACTGATCAACGAGATGTCACGACAGATTGAACATGAGTCTCAACTTTGGCAAAACGAAAGATTAAGAAAACTTGTTATTTCCGAGTATTGTCCGCCTTCCCTGATCGACTTATTAGACCTCGAAGAAATATTTCGTAATGTTCCTGAAAACTACTTGAAGGCAGTATTTAGCGCTTCCTTAGCTTCCCGTTTCATATACTACAACGGTTTATTGTCATCTTCTTTTGCCTTTTTTGAATACATGCAAAAATATCTGAGTTAACTTAGCAGTGTAACGCTATTTTACGTTCTTTTTGATTAAACAGCTTTAATTTTATTTAATAAATCATCAACAAAGTTGGTCTTTTCCTGACCTTTAAGCCTTTGAAGGAATCCCTTTCAAGCAAGCATCCTCATATATAAATCTTCATTGAATTGTTTCTTCTTATATTTAGTGGACAATACTATTTAAGCTTTAAATGTTTATCTAAACTAATAATATTTAAAAAGATGACGTAAATCTTAAAGCTAATTTATAAGTAAAAAGAATTACTGATGTAAGTACACCATTTTTATAGCAATAAATAGAACAATTAGGGAGTCTATAATATAAGCCCCTACCAATTACAATATAAATAACTTTTAATAATAATATATTATTATATGCACAACAACTTTATAGCGGTATAAAGTTAAATTCTTAATTATTAAGTACAGCCTCCAAATTAATTGACAAAAACCTATGAAAACCAAATATTATTACCGTTAATATTTGCGATCTATTAAAGCTTTTAAAACATTTATAAAATATATATATATAGATTTTTTAATATAATTTATTCTAACCAAAAAAATTAATCTGCAGCCATTAAAATTACTTTATAGAAGTTATAATTGTGTTTATAGGATAAAAAGTGGTTGGAATCGTAATAATAATTATGTTTACGACGTGCAATTTTGCTATAAATGAGGCTACGTCCTCTGTTGAAGATGAGATTGAAGTTAAGAAACGTTGTACTCTCGTTCTCATCTTTTATAATTAACGATAACTGGATGTTCAGTCCAAAATCGGTAGAGTTATTCACCACTTAAAAAAATATGATAATTACTGTTAAAATTAAAAAAAGATTTTAACCATCCAGCCGGTAAAATTCCGGATTCCAAAATTCATATAAATACTTTTTGGATAAAAACTTGGAAGGATTATCTTTAGCTAATAACCCATCAAGATCTTCGGCGAGAAGTAAACTTATAGGCGATTCTCTTACGAGAAAGTTATATGTTTTGTTAATTATGCTCAAGTTTAATATTTATATATTTTCATAGTATTATGTTTAAAATTATAATTATTTTTTAATAAAAATAAATTACTCTAGGGTTTATTATTTTTGTATTACCTATATAAATTTATTATAAACTAACCTTTGTTTACCGGTAAAAAAAACTGCTTCAACGAGCAAAGAAATAGTTTTCGAAAAAATTAAGCGTAATTCTCTCTGTGATTCGGGCTCTTTCGAGGTACTCAGCGAAGCATCAATATAAAAGTGAAAGTCATCTACTATAAAATGACAAGGTAGGTGGCCGATGTCTTCTTCGTTATTGTGAAGAGTAGCACAAAATTTTTGTAACTCGTAACAATTTTTAAAAAATCTTTAATTTATAAGTTATCAAATAAGAAAGTTAAAAGTTTTTTAAAATACCTGAAATGAATAAGTTTCAGAAGCTCTTTTTTTAAATTAAGATCTGGGAGGACTACAAACCTGGACAAAAAATTATTAATAAACATAAGGTTTGAAGGAAAAAGAATGACAATTTATTAAAATTCTTATAGAGTAACTTTACTGAGTTAAATTTACTTAAATTCGGTATATAAGAAATAACCATCTTTGTAAAAATAGTAATAACTTAAGATTAAAAAAATGTTACGTGAAGTCAGTATGCTTTTTAGAGCTTTGAAAAAATTTAACTTAAATACATATTATAAAAAGAAAAAAATGGGCTTTAAGAAATAGTTAGTACAACCATTTGTTTATAAATAACAAACAAATGGATTTTAAATTTTTTTTTTTGAAAAAATAACTTAAGGCAAATGCACAAACTAAAGTATGTAATAGCTACTGAAAAAGTTAACAAGGAAATTAAAAATTTGTTATTAGACGTACTAAAAAATTAAAAAATATAAAAAGAACAAATAATAATTAACCACTCTGGTAAAAAAGGAGGTGACTCTATCAACTTCTCTTTATTCTTAAAACATATAAAATATATATCTTCGCCTTCACAAGCTTTTGATAGAGCATAAGAAAAAAGTAAAGAAGTTTTCCCACTATCTCCAGTAAATATTAATTAACTTAATATTAAATTGGTAAAAAGATAGAATTCTTAAAGAATTTATTAAATTTAAAAAAATTGTTTACCTTATAAATAAAATTATATTTATGTTGTGTATTTATGTATTTAAAACCTCCACCTGGGCCCCATTAATACGGTCATTACCAAAGATCCTTTTTTACGGGGCGAGTGGAACTTTAAGTCAATATTATTCTTACAAGAATTTGATACTGGTTTTTTCTCTAGAAAGGGAAGCCCCTTTGGTTGAAAAAATTCTAATATTTCAACCATAGAGTCTTTTAAAAAAAAAATTGCACGTTTAAAGGTCAAAGTGCTTTCGTAATAAGTACCTTGTATGCGACATAAACTCAGCAAAAGCTTGGTTGTTCATGTTTAAAGTATTACCAATGGCCCTCCTCCTTTCTGGGCAAGCCCGAAGGAGCCTGACTGGCAGTGGTGCTGACCGGTGTTTCCAGCGGTTTTCCAGAGGTTTTCCAGCACCCTAGGCCAAATGGTGGTAGTCCTGCCGGTTTCTTCCCTTTTTCCAGTCCTTCAGGATAGTCATTAAAGCTCTAAAGAGCATTAATGGTATGCCCTCGCAGTCCAACCCCTGCAGAAGGTAATTCAGATTTAGCGGCTTAAGGTCTCCTACAAAGAGCGGCCGTAGTATGCCAGTGCCTAAAAAAATTTTTTACCGTTGCTATTAAGCAAATTAATGTCTCTTAAGAAGTTCTTAATAAGGTAGACTCCTACTAAATAAAATTTTAAGGTTTTATTATATACAAGTCTCTCCAAGGAGCCCACTTTCAAAAGAACCAAAAGTAGTATCTGCACACTTAATTAGAATTGGAACTTTAATTTTTTGAACAATAGTTCAAAAAAAATTGGAATATAACAGTAAAACAGCTTAGAGTTTCTCCATAATTTGTAAAACTATTCATATTGTTTTACTCTGCCCAAATTATACAATAAAAACTTTATAATGGAATGAACTGGCTAAAAACGAGTTTTAAGACTGGAGAGAGAACTTGTAAACTTAATATATTCCAAAGATCATCCCCTAATGATATGCCCACAGTACATAAGTAAAAGCTAAAGCTGCTAGCTGGGGGTGCTTCTCACAAGACTGCTTGTTAATTATATTATACTTGCATTATAACTTTATAAAATTTTCGCCTACCACCGTCAATTATCTTTTACTCATTAACAGCCTTCAATATTTTAGTTTATTTAGTACAACCTTCATTAATATCAAAGAACGTTTGAGTAAATAACTAAACTACGAATTTAGCATCCATAGGTTATTGATAGAGTAAATAACTTTTGGTTTAAGGATCTTAACTGTGAAGAAACAGTCAACTAATAACTACTCTCGAAATTTAGAATGATTATATTATGCCGAAGCTAATTGGTTCAGCATTATTAGCAATTTCGTTAGTACCTTTTTGACACTAAAGATGGGTACATCTATGGCTAGATTTTCTCGGCTGTTTAAGTCTAACAAAGAAGTTTGACATTGAAAATCCTTTTAGGGTTAGTTTGATGAAGAAATTAAGGAGTTTTTGAAAAAAGTAAACGATGACAAGATCTAAAATGAGTTAGAATTAGATAACAATAAGAACCCGGTTCTTTTTTTTAGTTTAAAGGACAATTTCTGTGATTTTTTTAGATTTTATTGTAAAGCTAACGTACAAAATTGTTTTATAACCGGACGGGAGGATAATATGAGAGGATATGGGTGGTCTTCTAAATTTAGCAGCTAGGTTTTATAACCTCAAAATTATATTAGGGTTATAAATCTGGTAATGGCTACCTAACAAGAACAGTGAACGTAGATTCCAGATGCAACAGAGATTAGAACATTGTAGTACTGTACTACCAAATTGGGTATGGTAAAATTCTTTATATTAATTTTTTTACTTTTTCAACAGATAAATTAATCTCAATGTTCTAACAGTCAGGCTGAACGAAGAAACATTAGGCGACAAACTAGTATACCCCTCCGTATCATCCTTTATCAACAAGCTAATAACTTTGGAAAATACCCTTGGCTAAGCTAACCTAACAATCTTTTTTTTTTATAATTTTTATTTAGTTTAAGTACAGCTTTTGAACTCCGAAAACGGGTGGAGACATATCAGGTTATAAAATTCCCGTACCTATAAGTTAAACAAGAAATATAAAATGTTACCGCGCGTTGGGTGTTACATTAGAATTAATAAGGGCGAGGTTAAATACGCAATCAGCAAAGGTCGAAAAAGAGAGTCCCGTCGGCGGGAATCAAACCCATCACCTGTGCTTCTAGACTCCTAAATTGCTGTGCTAAGAGAACATCTTTATATCCCGGTATAATGAATTTGCTTATAAACACGTTAGAATGGCTTCATAAAGTTTTTGATTCATCAATACATCTGCTATATAGGTCGCAAGAAATGGCTTATCTTTGTTCTAAAACTTTATAAAGTGACAACAGCTTTCAAACTATTCATTACTTTTTATATTTATACTGAAAGACATTGAAACAGTTTTGTTCATATTATATCTAAGCTAAAATGGTGCCTACATGTTTAGTACTCAACAATAATACAATTTTATTAGCACATGGATTATTATAATCACTAACCTTTATTAATTTTTTATTGGGTTAATTGAGGGCGGTCAAAGTCTTAAAGGCAGTAATAACACGAATAACGACAACTAGAGTTATCTTTAGCCTATAAAACACGTGATAGTGAAAAAAAAAGAGACTTCTTAGTAGTATAATTAATTTTTGTTAGGAGTAAAATCGTTTAATTTAAGCTTAGTTTTTAAACAAATAGCTTGAAAAATGTTGTCTCGTTATTTCCTTAGTAGTTTTTTCCTAAATTTAAAAGCTTTTATGACTTATAAACTGCAATGAACACTTTTTTTGTATATACTTTAAGTTTGGAAGATATATAGAATCCTAAATTTAGTAAATGTTG